AAACCTAACAACGAAGGTTACGCTACTGTTAGTATGCCAAAAAAATTACTGCCATCTTGGCAACAAATTTTTGGCATCGGTTTTAAGACATTAAAAAATTTATTTATGAGTCGCTTAGTGTTTTTTTCAGAGTATCATTGGCAGAGACATTCTAGGAGGATTATGAAATATTATATTCATATTTTGTTATACTGTTTCTTACCTATACACTGTTCCCTGTGAACGCATGTTGATCCAATTGACACCTTATCCCAGCATTTTCCTTCCACAGCAACCTCGTAGGACTTGCACAAGGGTTTTGCAAAGCACCGCCCACTAGTTGCTTCCTTGCCATTTGGACACTTACAGACCGAATCTACACAAATTGAATCACCAAGACACTGTTCGGTGTGCACGCACTTGCCGTTGATTGATACCTGTAAAATCGGTTACTGACTTCTACAAGACCACAAAAGCCTTTTCTTAGGTACTATAAGTTATTATCAAAAATTGAGCTGGTAGGATTTAGGTTTAATACTTACTCTGTCGTAGCAGCGTTCATCATCACGAATCTTAATAAATATTTGTTTATCTTTGCAGTTCGTTTCACTGTCGGTGAAACACCCATGGGAATCAAGTTTGGTACCAGCTGGACATTTGCAGAATCCCTTAATGCATTCAGCCCCAGATGGGCATTGCTCTGACATTTTGCATTCTTCATCGACATTAACGCTAGCAAAACACTCCCCTTTAACTTCAATTTCATCCCACTCGCAATAGCCACATTCATTGCCATTGCCATAACATGATCCACGAGGGCATCTGCAGGTTTCGTTGACGCAAACTGAGCCACCCAAGCATTGTTCGTCAACGGTACAGTTCTCATAGATACCAACAGTTTCATAACATTTTCCGTTGACATAGACTTTGCCAACTCCGCAATGTGTACGAATGATACACCGCTTTCCGTCTTGAATGCTATTTGCGGGACATTCGCAGAAGCCCTCCTGACAAACAGCTCCACCAAGACACTGTTGGTCACGCATACAACGTTGATGTACCCAAGATTTCTTGAAGCACTGTCCGTCGATAAGAATCTAAAAAATATCTTTACTGTTTTCCACAATTTAGCTGTAAAGTATTGCTGTAAAAATTTGGTAAAATGTAAACTATATTTTGCGCAGAAGGTTCTTAAAGAATTAAATATCTTTAATCGCTTATAATATAAGCGTATAATTGAGTAACCTAATTAGATGCATTTGAATATTGTGGTGAGAATTTACTACCTGTCCAATTTCGGAGCACTCTTTGTTCTTGTATACACAGGTGTCATAGTAGGTGATTTGCCCTTCCGGGCATTGGCACTCTCCCATCAAGCAGACCTCGTCGCCAGGACATTCTTTTGAATACTTGCACTTATCGGCAAAAATACCTTAAATTTTGCACTCATGAAGCGCACTAGCAAATATTGTTTGAAACTTTTTGAAAACCACGATGGATTTTTTTTAGTCTGTTAAGAAGACCCAGTTAGCCGCGAAAGTTCATTTAATTGCAAGTGAAAGAAAAGCCAGAGCGTAAGGACCAGAATTACTGAAACAGGTCAAGTTATTTACCGAAGACTAGGGATGAGAAGAGAACTGAAGCGAAGACGAAAGCAACCATGGTTGACTGACATTCTAAAGGGTTGCACTCTTTTATATCCTACAATAGTGCTTCAAAAAAAAAAAACCAGCAAAATGTTAATGATGGAAATTTTTACTACAAATTAACTTGGTTACCCTTCCACAGTAGCTCGTTGTACAAACTGTCAGGTCAATTTGAACAGCTTGCGACCGCGAAAAAAATTGCTAGCCATTATTTTACGGGCCATAAAATTTTGCTAATTAATGCATAATCTACTTGGAAAGTAATGCAATTGGTCATAACTGTAAATATATTTACAAAAAAATCTACTGGTCCCGATTTAATCTCAAATTCTACTTCACATTTCATTAGCGCTGAGGTAACTAAAAAACATTTATTGCCGTTATTACTGTTGCCGTTGTAGTCGTCGTTACTGTTGTTTGCATCGTCAATTAGCCTTCAAAATTCAATCAGCTTGTAAGTTTTGCGGTCGTTTCATTTGTTACGTTACTCTTAATTCAGACAAATTCCTGTAAGAAGTTCAGGTGGCTCGACTTCTAGTTGTAATTACTGCTATAGGTTGGCATTAGAGAACCTTGATGAATTAACTCTTGGCAAACGGTACTACTATTCTGTCGCATGAGTAAGGTCAACCTCCAAACATCTCTCAAAATTCGTCGTTGTCCATCGAATGACGCTGAATGGCTAACGAAGTTTTTACCGCAGAATTTCAAGTGGCTTAAAAATTTAGATTTATATAAAGATTCTCTTTTGTAAAACTTTGTCATCGGCTTTGCTCAGTAAAGTAATAAAACCAGTATTGTCGATTCTTATGATGTGTTCCGTAACTTCTCTATTTTGACAAAATTCATTTGTAAAAAAAGTAAATTCAAAAAATTAAAATTCAAAAAACCTTTCTTTCATTTCCAAGTTTTCCCTTTTATTGCCGCCAAAAAAACCAATGCAGGATGTTAACAAAATTTTTCGCTAGACGATCGGAAAAAGTCTTCTTTTCAATAATTTTTTTTAGATGAGTACAGGTTCAACTGCTTTCCACCGTCTGCAGAACCATTCAAATGTACTGGAATTTTGAAGAACTGCAGCCAACTCCAAATGGGAAACCGCGCAAAATTTTGAATATTTTAGTGAAACATTTGACTAAATTGACAATGGTAGGTGACTACTGGAAAGGTTACTAAAACCATTTGCCTGAATTTCTCTTAGAGTAAGTAAGTAAGGTTTTTATAATCTCACTTTTTAACACCATATATATAAATCTAATTTTTTTTGTTGAACATTAACCGCTAAAACTGTTGCTTCTCAGAAAAAATTAGTTGGAAGATGTCTGTCACTTCACGATGTTGACAAATGTCATTTCGAGTCTTTTGCTTTTGAAAAACTTGAGCTTATTTATGTATGCAGATGTTGCGCAAATAAACACAATAAACAAAATGATTGGTTAGGTTTGCACGACAAAAAACGGGATAGTGAATTCATCCACTGCAGTCCCTACTAACGTATTTATGGTAAAAATGTTCTGTGTGAAATTAAAAGTATCAGGAAGACATAAAATTTCAACAGCCTTTTCTCTAACAGTTATTTAGTAAGTTTTATAAAACTGTTTATTGTAAAGAACCATTCTTTAAAATTTTCGACAATTCCAGTTAATGGTTTTTCAAATCATCAAGTTATTGCAGGGCAGAAGAAGACCCGTCTTTATACGGTATCTCAGTTAGAACAACATATTAGGTAAGCTTTTATCCAATAAGGGAAACTGAACAAAACAAAAATTTTTAAAGATTTTAAAGAACGCCTGTCTGCATCATTGAATTCTTTTTGTCTCGTTCTTGAACAGTGGGAACGGAATAAATAGAGTTGAAGTCGTATCCCTTGCCAGGAAACTTTTGAAGTGGAAACCTTTAAGTAAAATAAAATTTGAAACTGATTCATAAAAGATTTGTTTTTTAAAGCAAATTACAAAATTGCTTGCGGAAGTATTTTGCTTTATTAAGTTTCCAAAGTAAAACAATAGTCAAAACTGGCGAATTGGTATTTTTCTACGCGATGGTTCAACACATTTTCTCCGCCTTACATGATAGCTGTACAAAACCAGTATGGCTTTACTTTACTACTTATATGCAAAATGGTCTGGAAGAACAGCAAGCAGCTGGGCCGTTCTACGAGTTCCAAAATGATGACTAAAAAGCCACTAAAGATGCAGCGCTAGTACTTCCTTCGATGTTCGCAACCGTAGTGCTATTGCTTTGTTTTTGGGAAGCGCTAAATTACTTTCTAGCTGGTCGTCTTTACGCAATGCGAAACTTTTCCAAGCAGAAATAATACAAGGGCCAACCGTAATAATTGAATAAATTTTTTACAGTTTGAAATGCATTAATTAACTTATATAACAATCTAAATC